CAGTTTCTCCACAACCTCGCCAGCATTTGTTGCTTGCTGTTCTGTTAAATTTTGTTATTCTGACTGGGGTGAGATGATATCTCATAGTTGTTTTGGACAGATATATTCTTAATCTCCTGTGTATTTGAATTATTATATGGCAATTGGTCCATATAAAATAAAAAAGCTTGCTTGATTCCCTGAGTCAGTGTTCTTTAACATAGGTGAAGAAAGAAAACTGAATGATAGTTTGGAAGATATGTTTGATCAGACAACACACGAAGAATACGAATCCTGTTTGGCAGATAATTTTCCCCTAGGAACAGATGAAGATGAGGATTCGTCAGCTGTCACAAAACAACCAAACGGTAAGGCTCCTGTGTTTGTTTTTTGGTTTGCTTAATTTTTTGTTTTTAGTACAGCCTTTTTAATTACAATGAGTTCCATAAATTAAATCATCCACCTCACAGGGTTGATGAGTTTTATTAACAATGTGTTTTGTATAAATTTAATTTTTTTAAAATGTTAATTTATTTATTTTTATTTTAATGAAAGTTTACAGAGACTTTGGATTTCCATACATTCATTGTTGCACACTTCCCTCCCTGCCTACCCTTTCCCCCGGTTCATTTTTCTCTTTGAAGTATAAATTTATTCTTAATAGTTAATTTTTTAAGATAATTTCACTTATAGAAGCTCAAATTCCAGAGTTTTACTTTGCCTTTCATTCAGAGTCCTCATCTTATTTTAATCAAAGGACATTTTTCTAAACTGAGATAGTCTGTATTAAAAGTTTATTAAAAAGGGCTAAACATCCTATATTTGTACCATGAATAAAATAGTAAAAAATTTTAATCCAGTGCAGAAGTCGTTATATGTTTAAATGCTTGCACTTTCTGCAGTGGCACAGTCTTGGTTATATTTTCCTTCTGTTTCCATCAGATTATGGAAATATTGGTATCTTAACTCAAAGTGATAGTTCCTTAACCAGATAAAGAATACAGTCTTTTACTTGCTCAATTTACATCAAGAACTTGGTCAAATAAATTTAGTAATAAAACGTTTCAGCTCTTCAGATTTCTTTACATAACCAGTAGATGCAGTGGTGTCCCTGCCCTTGACACCTGAGTCTTGACCTACCCCTTTCCCTGCTTTACCAGCATTCCCTTCTACTCCCCCCTACTACATTGAATGCTTGATGTGATGGCTTATATCTCAAAGTTTTTGGGCTTCTGTGATTCCAAACGCCTCAAACTGCTGCCAGTTTCTTCTACTATGGCCAGTATCTCTTGAATTTAGGAGTCTATAAGTCCAAATACCCAGTCCTAATAGCAGGGAATGCTTTCGATCTCAGATGGTTCTGAGGAAAATCCTTTGCCTTGACTTTCTTGCTTCAGAATTGATGACTCGTGGCTTAGGGTCTCTTCTCTTCCGTTTGTTGTACACTGTAGTCAAAATGGAACAGTGTCCCAGGGGAGGGATGTATCTTGTAGATCTGGTATATAGTGTTGTTTTTCTTGGCCTGAGAGCCTGTGGCCTGAGGGCCCCAAAGTTTTTAAGGTGTCACCCTTGACCCACGGGCTTCTGGTAAACGTGAGCATACCATCTAAGCTCTCCAAAGTACTGAAGAGCAACGATGTCAGTTTGGAGACTAAGGTGTGACTGATTCAGTCCATAGTCTTTGCAATTACTTGCTATGTTTCAAAAAAACTGGACAATAGCTAGAGATAGTAGAAGAAGAATTGATGCCTTTGAGCTGTGGTGCTAGAGAACAGTATTGAATATACCATGGACTGCTAGGAGAACAAACAGGTTCATCCTGGAGAGGGTGAAGCGAGGCTGCTCCTTGGAGGCAAGGATTCTGAACCTTCATCTGACATACTTTGGGCATGTTGCAAGAAGGGACCAGTCTTTGGAAAGGGACATTATGCTTGGGAGGGTGGAGAGACAGCGCAGGAGAGGAAGATCTTTGATGAGATGAGTTGATTCAGTGACTGTGGTAATGGGTCTAGGTGTGTCAGAGACAGTAAGATTGGTGCAGGATTTAAGGTTATTGTATTGTACATAGGGTCGCTGTGAGACACAGGCGACTTGATGGCACATAACAACAACAACCATCATGTCAGAATTAAATCATAGCTGACCATCCAGCAGATTTTCAGAAGTAGTAAATCACTGAGATTACTCATCTTTCTCTCTCTGCAGCTGGTGGATTTGAACCACTTGCCTTTGTGTCAGTGCAACTCCTCAACCACTAAGCCACTAGAGCTCTTGAATTAGGTAATACTAATGCTAGGGTACATACATAGAGTTTTCAGAGGCCTGCTGTTTTGGAAGTGGATGGCCAATCCTTAGTGTGTTCAGATTTAGAGAAGTATCCACTGGGGTAATCGGGATGAGTGTGTCAGAGACAATGAGATTGGCACAGTACAGAACAGAGTTTAGGGCTGTTGTACATAGGGTCGCTATGAGTCGCAAGCGACTCGACAGCACATAACAACAACAGTGCTAGGGTATACATTTGTCAAAACTTATCAGGTGTTGTTGTTACATGCCATTGAGTAGGCAACGACTCATAGCAGCCAACAAAGCCTTGCCCTATCCTTCACCATCTTTATGATCTCCCACATACTCAGCCACTTATTAATGCAGTCACTGTGTCAATCCATCTTATTCAGGATCTTTTCCCAACATAATGTCTTATTCCAAGGACCTGCCCTCTTATAATATGTCTAAAGAATTTGAGACAGTGTTTCACCATCCTTGTATCTAAGGAATATCTTGGTTGTACCTCCTCCGAGAGAGACTGACTTTTTTGTTCTTTTGGGAGTCTGTGGAATATGCCATACTCTTCCCAGTACAATGAAGAGGCATTGATTCCTCTTCTGTCATCTTTAGTCTTTGTCTAAATGCTTGGAAGGATGCATGGCTTGGATCAAATGCATATTAGTCTTTAAATTAACATCTTTCCTTTCTAGCACTTTGAGAGGTCCTCAACAGCGTATTTTCCCAAGGCAGTTTATGTTTTGATTTATTGACTGCTTCTGTCATGGATATTGATTGTAGACCCACAGAAAATGAAATTGTTGACACCTTCAATCTTCATTCCATCAGTCATGATATTGCCCATTGTTCCAGTGGTGGGGACTTTTGTTTTCTTAATGTTGAGATGCCCTTTGTCTTGAAGGCTATTTATAGACTTGGATCTGCTGCAGTAAGACTTCTTCACTTTCTGCAGGCAAGGTGGTATCATCTGCATTACACAAGTTGTTGATGAGTCTTGCTCCAATCCTTATGTGTTATCTTCATAGAATTCAGCTTCTTGAATCATTTTCTCAGCATACAAATTGAATAGTTGTAAAGAAAGAATACAGCCCTGAGTCATACTGTTCCTGATTTTAAACCATGCAGTATTTACCTGTTCTGTTTGAACAAGTGCTTCTCAGTTTATGTTTTGGATGAGCACAATCCAGTATGAATTATATGTAAATTATACCAGAATAAAGTCAGTTCTTTTCTCTTACAAAGGCCTATCATGATCTGGCACTTCCTTTCCAACCTCATCTTTCCTAACTCTTCCCTTCTTCATTTAGTCTCATCCACACAGGCATTCTCTTAATTCCTGTAGCACAGCAATTCATTTCATATCTCAGGGCCTTTGTCATGTGCCTAGAAGTCACCCTCTTCCTAACCCGGAGGAAGTCTGACCATTTTTCATTTATCAGTTACTTACTCATAGTCAGTTTTCCTGATTATGGTAAAAATAAGGACAGGAGATCTGGTCTTTTAGTCTATACTTTATGTTTAGAACTTTTGTAATGCTGTATAAATTTCAGTTCTTTAAGTAGTTGAAAACAGTTACTTGTTTGTGCATTAAATTGAGATCCATGAGTTCTGGTTCTTCTTATGTTACCAATTTTCTGATTAAATATTTTAATCTTTTACTTCATTGTTTTAATCTACTTTAAAAGCCCATTATAAAAATCAGTGAGACTTAGACATGATATGGAATATCACACTGATATTTTTATTGTTGTTGTCAGTAATTAGATCATAGACACATTAAGTTGAGTAAAGGAAAGCCTATATAAGATAAGGAATGATTAGTACCACATCACTAAAGAAAAAGATGAAACAAGAATCCTGGACAACATAGACTGTTAGTCCACAACTCTGCATTACCAGTAACAATTTTAAAAAGAGTAAAGGAAGCTCTGGTGGCTTAGTGGCAAGAAGCTGTGCTGCAATCCCGAAGGCATGTGGTTTGAATCCATCCACTGGAGAAGGAAGGACAGTCTCCTGTGCCAGTCGAATCCAACTTGACAATACACAACAAGGCAAAAAAGAAAGAAAGAAATTTTTGAAAAAGACTAATAAATAGTCTTTTTCTGGCAATGGCGTCAGGGTGTGTGCTGGCTAGTGCACCCCCACCCCCAGTCCCCCATGTTACCTGGGTTAGATTGTGCAGATCAGAAAAGCTTTGCCTCTCCTTCCCGAATCCCAAAAACTTTCTGGCAGTGGCGTCAGGGTGTGGCCTGGCTAGTGGCCCCCCCTTCCTCCCCACCCCGGGGTTACATGGTTCAGAATCAAGAAGGGGGTCCATCAGGGATGTATTCTGTCTCCATACCTTTTCAGTCTGTATACAAAACAGATCATCTGAGACACTGGGCTGTATGAGGAGGAATGTGGCATCAGGATTGGTGGAAGAGTCATCAACAACCTGCGTTATGCAGATGCCACACCATGCTTGCCTGAACTGAGGAGGACCTGAAGCGCTTGCTGCAGAAGGTTAAGGACTGTAGTCTCCTATATGGATTGAAGCTCAGCATCAAGAAAACAGAAATGCTCACCACTGGGCCAATTTGCAGCATCAGTATGGATGGTGAAGAGATTGAGATAGTTAACAGTTTTAATTTACTTGGCTCCACAGTCAACACTCTTGGTAACAGCAGCCAGGAAATCAAGAGACAAATTGCATTGGGAAAGTCAGCTGTGAGGGACCTCTCAAGAGTACTGAAGAGCAATGATGTCAGGCTGGAGACTAAGGTGCACCTGATCCGGGCTATAGTCTTCGCAATTACGTGCTATGCATCAGAGATTTGGACAGTGAATAGGGATGATAGAAAATTTATGCCTTTGAGCTGTGATGCTGAAGAAGAGTGTTGAATATACCATGGACTGCTAGGAGAACAAAAAGGTTTATCCTGGAGAAGGTGAAGCCAGAAATGCTCCTTGGAGTCAAGGATTCTGAAGCTTCATCTGACATACTTTGGGCATGTTGCAAGGAGGAACTGGTCGTTGGAGAGGGACATGATGTTTGGCAGTGTGGAGGGGCGGTGAAGGAGAGATAGACCCTCGAGGAGATGGATCGATTCTGTGAGTGGAGTGGTGGGAATGAATGCATTTGAGATGGCGAGGTTGGCACAGGATAGAACGGCGTAGAGAGCTCTTGTACATAGGGTCGCTATGAGTTGCATGCAACTTAATGGCACATAACAACAACAACAACAATAAATAGTCTAGACAAGTTTCTTGTTCTTTTTGGTACCAAACAGTAATTGTTTTGTAGTATTTCTTTTCAGAGTTTCAGAATACTTTCTGAGATGATGTTTAGCTCTATAATAATTCTGATATGGTGAGACAGTCAGCACCTTATGCATAGTGAAAACAGGAAAGAGTTAAAATTAAAGTGGTGTTTTCTCCTGTTGCCTTAAGTGTGGAACCCAATAAAAATGACATTTTTTGATACTGCTAGTTTTGTCAGTCAAGCTGATTATCACCCAGTAAGTTGTATGTTCAGTCTGGGGTGTGCTTGTTCTCTTTACAGGTAATGATGACAAGCATGATAAAATCAAACAGAAAGCACTTGTGGGACCATATTTTAAGGATGGTGAAAGGTAAGCTGGTCTTGATTCATATCAGCGATGTGATTGGAAGAACAGCAGCGCTGTCCCTGCAAGCATGTCTGTAATTGCTAAATTGCTACTTATAGTTGTAGCGTGTTGATGCCTTTGAATTGTGGTGTGGGTGCACAGTGCTGAGTATCTATGGACTGCCAACAAACTAGCAAGTCTCCCTTGGAGGAGGTGCTTCTAGGGTACTCCTTAGAGACAAAGACAGAGAAACTTCATCTCACATCTTTGGACAAGAGGGGCTAGTCCTTGGCAAAAGGCATCATGCTGGGAAAGGTAGAAGGTCAGAAAAAGAGAGAGTATGACCCTCAACAAAACGATTGACACAGTAACTGTAAAAATGGGCTTGTGCATATCATACATAGATTGTGAGGAAGGCAAGTTCAGGTCTGTTGTTCTTAGGATCACTAAGAGCAAAGTCAGCTTGATGACATCTAACAGCAAAAACAGCAACATAACTATAGTACAGTTTGTCATTTACTTGATGGTCCCAATAACAGAAGGCTTCCGAGTCACAGCAGCCTTGACACAGGACAGAGTAAGATTGCCCCAGAGGTTTCTAGGCTGCAGTCTTTATATGAGCTTGTCTTTTCTGGAGCCACTGGTTGGTTCGAGCCCTGCCAGCATTTCCGTTAACAGATGAGTACTTCACCATTGTGCTACCAGGGCTCCTCTGGCATAGAGTAAGCCTCAGTAAGTTTGTGATTAAATATTTTTGATTCTCTAACAAAGTGAAGATATATTTCAAATAAATGAGTATTTGGGACCATTTCTCCTCTTTAAACTCACCTTTGTAAGTTTAAGTTCTAAACCAAATACAATAAAACTAGATATATTTTCATTTTAATTCATTTTTCCCTTCAGGGAGACTAGCTTACAAAATTTTCCTCATATTGAGGTGGTTCGGAAAAAGGAAGAGAGAAAAAAACTGCTTGGACATACTTGTAAGGAATGTGAAATTGTAAGTACCAGTGTAAATACACCCTGCTTATTTTTTCAGTTATGGCCTTGTAGATCATAAACACATCACTTAAAAAGTCATAGGTACAAATTACCTTTGTATACAGAGAGCCAGCTGGAACCAGAAATAATAAAAGAAATCCATTAAACCATATATATGCACACTATGACCTGGGAGGTAGAAATGGGTGGAAATGAAAGCTCTTAAGTTTCTCTTAAATATTCATTAAGTGAATCCAGAATGTTGGGTCTAGTTCTTAATCCCACATTAAGAATAATGTGTTTGGGTTTTGTAGGTTTACTTCTGTTGGCTTTGGGGGTTTTTTGGTTTTGGTTTTTTGTTTTTTATAAATTTCTTTCCTTGTGTTCTTCTCTGTACCTTTCAGGAAAGCAAGTGACATTTCAGTAGTAAACTTTAACATTTGTTACTTATACAAGTGTTATTGGCAAGTAAGAGAATATTCATAACTGTTTTTCCTAAATAACTGGTACTACTCTAAGCTCTAATTTTTCTTTGTTTTCCTAAACAAAACATGATGATCAGACACTAGTTTATCCATAGAACACAGATTTTTTTTTTCTTTTTTCTTTTTAGTACTATTAACTGCCTTGGATTGTTGAAATAGTACACATTTATCCTATTGCTAAATAGTTGTATGCAGTTCTGTGTTTTCTTAAAACATCCTATTTTCATTTCTCCCTTTCTCTCTGTCTGAATTAGCTAGCATCACTGTAGCAGAAATTCCACAGGTGGGTGGTTTTAATCAACAGTTGCTGTTCTCATTCTTAAATGCGAATCAAAGTGCTAGCTCTAGTGGCAAGCTTTCTGTCTCTGTGGGATCCAGAGAAAGTGTACATCTCTAAGCTTTTCTGCTCCTGGGTAATCTTTCTTTGACATGGTGTCTGTTGTTTTTTTTGTTTGTTTGGTGTTTTTGTTTTTTGGGGTTTTTTTAATATGTATATAAAATGCAAGCAAGATTCTACTGAAGATTATCCAAAAATGATTAGAACAGCACATCAGCAGAGAACTGCCGGAAGTCCAGGCTGGGTTTAGAAGGGGTCATGGTACTAGGGATATTGTTGCTGATGTTAGATGGATCTTGGCTGAAAGCAGAGAATACCAGAAGAATGTCTATCTGTGTTTCATTGATTATACAAAGGCATTTGACTGTGTGGATCATAACAAACTGTGGCTGACTCTGAGAAGAATGGGAATCCCAGAACATTTAATTGTGCTAATGCGAAACCTATACTTGGACCAAGAGGCAGTAGTCAGAACAGAGCAGGGTAACACTGCATGGTTCAAAATTGGGAAGGGTGTACGCCAGGGATGCATCCTGTCTCCATACCTTTTCAACATGTACGCAGAGCAGATTATCTGAGAGGCTGGGCTCTATGAGGAGAATTGTGGCATCAGGATTGGTGGAAGATCTATTAACAATCTGCGTTATGCAGATGACACAACCCTGCTTGCTGAAACTGAGGAGGACCTCATGCACTTGCTGCGAAGGGTCAAGGACTGCAGCCTTCAGTATGGACTGAGGCTCAATGTCAAGAAGACAAAGATTCTCACCACTGGACCATTGGCAGCGTCAGGATGGATGACGAAGAGATTGAGAGTGTTCACAGCTTCAGTGTGCTCGGCTCCACAGTCAACACTCTTGGCACCAGCAGTCAGGAAATCAAAAAGCGTATCGCAATGGGAAAGTCTGCTGTTAGGGACCTCTCTAAAGTACTCAGGAGCAACAGTGTCTCTCTGGAGACTAAGGTGTGCCTGATACAGGCCATGGTATTTGCAATCGCTTGTTATGCATCAGAGAGTTGGACAGTGACTAGGGAGGACAGAAGGAGAGTGGATGCTTTTGAGCTGTGGTGCTGGAGAAGGGTACTGAATGTACCATGGACTGCCAGGAAAACAAACAGTTTCATCTTGGAGAGGATTAAACCATGCTACTCCTTGGAGGCAAGGATTCTGGGGTTTCGTCTGACATACTTTGGACATGTTGCCAGGAGGGACGGGTCCTTGGAGAGGGACATCATGCTTGGGAGGGTGGAGGGACAGCACAGGAGGGGAAGAACCTCTATGAGATGGATTGATTCGGTGACTGGGGTAATCGGGATGGGTGTATCAGAGGCGGTGCGGTTGGCGCAGGATAGAGCAGGGTTTAGGGCTGTTGTGCATAGGGTCGCTATGAGTCGGAAACGACTCGACGGCACATAACAACAGCAACAACATATAAAATGTTTTACTTTAATTACGATTTTAACAAAAGTTTCTAGTAAAGTTAGATTTTCATTTATTCATTGTTGTACATTTCACCCACTCTCCCTCCCTACCCGCCTAGTTCACTTTTTAAAAATACTTGTTTATTGTTACAGTTAACCTCCGCCCCAAGCCACCCTGCAGTCCTCTTTTCCATTCTGGCCTATTGTCATATGTGTGATGCCTAAGACAAGGTGTTTTTCTTTACCTTGTCTTTACTTCTTTTACTTGGCAGTTTAATATGTTTATATTATAGTAGGGAGTGATTTAAGACACATGCCACACTAATCCTGCATTATTAACAAACCAAAACCAACCAATTCCCAGATAGAATTATAACTGCAGGCAATTATAGCCATTTTGGATTTTTACAGCATGTTTAGGGTGGGGCAGGCCAGAGGACCCAGTTCAGTCCTTTCCACTAACTATTTACTAGCCAATGTGTGCTAGCAGTTTATTTGCGCTTTTAAGTCTATTGAACAACTAAAGGCTGGAAAATTTGAAAACTAAATATAGTGAAACTATACTAAATATAATGAAAATACAGTTAAATTTCCATGTAGATAGGCATTTTTTTAGAGATATCCTCTATAGTAAAAGTGGCGTTGACTCTTTTGGAAGGCAATTTGGCAAATAGGCAAAACTTCCAGTATCATGAGTTTTCCTAACTCAAATAAATTTTATTATTTTTAAGCTAAGGAACTGAGAAAGTAAATTTCGTTCTTTACAATCTAAGTAGAGAATGAGTTCTTTGCTAGAAACACTTCTATTTGCCTCTTTCTCTCAGGAATCTTATCATGTACTGTCTGTTCACGTTCTGAAAACCATTGCTTCATACACTTTTAATTTAATTGTTTAGATTAAGAAAATGAATCTGGTCTCTACTGTTAGTTAATAACTCTAAATGAACTTGACAGTTCGATGTATTTAAAGCTTGCCTCTGTAAACTATGAACTTGGAGAAAAGGTGAAAGTTTTGTGTTCAAGACTTTTCTTCATAGGGTCTCTAAGGGTTGTCTACAACTCTATGGCACTTAACAATTTAATTTAATTTTATTTATCCTTACCAATTTAAAAGTTATCCCATTGTCTGTTCAGCTTGTCCTCTTAAATGTGTAATCATCATCTCAGATTTCACTTGATGAGAAGCAAATATTTCCTCCTCTTAGTTTCCAGTTCTTACCGCTCTTTAATTGTGTAGACCACATAATTGATCAGCAAATCCCAGTGGTTGTGCAAAACATATTCCACTTCCAGCCACTTCTTACTATCCCACTGTTGACCTCATGGACTCTTGCCAGGATGTATTGGAATAGCTTGTAACTGCTCTCCTTGTCATTTCATTCTCATCTCATAGTGTTCTCCACACAGAGGTCAATAAACTTAAAAAATCCTCTCTTAAAAAGAAAACTTTCTATTCAAAATTCTTCAATATCTTCCCATTCCATTTCTTTATCAAAAGCAATAAACCCTGGCACCTTCCTCACTTTTGGCTTCACTACTCCTCTCCCACTTTCTGTGTGAACTACCATAGCCCACTGTGTCTTTTGAATATGGTTTGACTTGGTAGCAATGCTTTGTCCTAGAAAGCATAATTCTCACAAAGCCCAAGCTAAAGTATCAAAGGCTTGTACACATCACAATAAGATGGAAAAAGATTCCTTCCTCCCCTAAAGATGGTTAGAAATAATGTAAAGCCTTTAGTTAATCTATATAAGAGAAAAAAATATTTTTAAAAACTATAGTTCACATAGCTTTTCATCCTGAATATGCCAGTTTAGTTTGTATTATCCTGTGTAGATTACCACTTCTGTAGTTTACAGTTTATCAAATATAAAATGTAGGAGTTTTCTGGGATATATGTCCTAGTTCATCCATGTCCTAGTTCATCCATGTCCTAGTTCAGTTTTGTGATCTATTTTTTTTTACTCTTTAGTTCTTACATATAAATTCGATGCTTGTTTGCATGAAGGTCAAGTTCTTTTTGATCATAATTTAAATATATACATTTGATCCTAGGTGGAAAAATACAGCTTAAAAGAGTAAATTCTGCAATTCTTAAATCCAGAGTTCCTTTTGAAAATCTTTAACAAAAAGAAAATTGCTTTAAACACATAAATTACATCCCAATAAATTTGAGAATAGTGCATCATAAAGTTGTTGTTGGGTACTGTAGAGTCGGAACTGAACCATAGCTGATCCTCCAGTGGGTTTTCAAAGGCATTTAATCATATGGAAGGAGATTGCCCGTCCTTCTCCCACAGAGCAGCTGGTGTGCCTTCAGTATTACAACGCAGCTTCTTGCCACCAGAGCATCATAAAGTACAGATCTCTAAACTTTTTTTCTAATATGACAAGAAATGGGTAATTGTTAGTAATATATAAATCAGCTGTACACAGAATCTCATGGTAAAGTTCATTTGGGGTTTGTTGGATTTTTTGTTGATGGTTGGTTTGGTTTTTCCTTTTTTTTTTTTATTTTCAAGATTCTTGATGAGGGAAGCATTTGTAATTCAAGCTTGTTTTCTCATCTATGAAACAGAAATTTCCCAGACTAAGACCAGCACTGTTTTGTGTCAATAAGTAATTAATATTACACAATTACAATAAGTAATTAATATTACACAATTATTAATTACTGGTATTATTTTTTACTATTAAATTTCCGTAGAATATGAATATGTTGACGTTTCCTTCACTACCAGTTAATAAGCATAACACTCTGTTTATTTTCCTTCAGTGAAAATACTTAGCAGTTATTATTTTTAGTATTATGCAGATATCCCAGCAGAAGAAAGAGAAAAGAAGTTGGCTTCCTGTTCAAGACACCGGTTCCGCTACATTCCACCCAACACACCAGAGAATTTCTGGGAAGTTGGTTTTCCTTCTACTCAGACTTGTGTGGACAGAGGTAAGAACATAAATGTTTGGGAATTGACATAGATTTTGAAATACCATATATACTCAAGTCCGATCTTTAGAATTTTTCTCCCTGGCTCTTTTTACCTCCTGCAAATCGAGTGGTGATGGCTTCATTATACAAACGCAAGTTCCTAGAGGTGAAAGCTTACTTTAAACTCTTCAGGTACATTTTAATATAATTATGTAAATGTGCTGTCAGGTTTCCTCAATCTAAAATCATAAAGGAATAAATAGTCACATTACAAACATATAGTGTAGTATACCAATTATACTAAAGTCATGGCTGTTGACGGGAAGGGAATGCTAAAGAGAAGGGAATATACTAGTTAAGCATAGACTTCTTTGAACAAACACCTCAGCATTTTTGTACTGATTTCTCCTGAGTGTTCTGGAGCACTCAGTTAAAAATTATATTTTATCCTGCAGTTTCAAATACATAGAATGACTTGAGGGCACATAACAAAAACAACAACAATGTATCATTTGAGATGTGAATGGGAAATAATGTTAAGTGTAGACCTAATTGGATTTTAAGGCTTAAGATGGATTTAATGAGTAGTTTCCTTAGTATTAATAATTACAGCTCTAGTTGTTATTATATGCCATTGAGTTACCTGTGACTTGTTGCAACCTTATGAGCAGTAGATTTGAACCTTACCCTTTCTTGCTCTATCCTCACCCTCTCAAGTATGCTTTGTAAAAATGTCCGCAAGAAGGTATGTGAATTGCTATGAACTGGATTCTGACTCAGAGGCAACCCCATGTGTACAGAATAACTGCTCCATGGAGTTTTCAAGGTTGTGCCATTTAGAAAGCTGATGGTCAAATTTCTCTTTACAAGCACCTTTGTGTGTGCTCACACCTTCAGTGTTTGGACTTACGGTTGAGCACCACTCAAGGACTTCATATAACTGTTGTTGTTGATTGCCATCGAGTCAGGCATGACTCATAGCAACTCTATGACTAAAAGACCTAATGCCTTTCCACAACTATCGTCATTTCTCCAAGTTCATAGAGTTTCCAGAGGCATGTTGTTTAGGAAGTAGATGTGCTTCCGAACTTGTTTTACAAGTGGGAGCTCCACCAGACACTGTCCACATTGAGAAACCATTCTGGTATTTGATACCCCAGTGGTACAAGGTTCAGTATCACAGCAAACTCAGGTTACTTCATACTGCACATTAACAAAGAGTAATATACAAAGTGGAAGTGTTCCTCCAGACACAACAGCACTAGTTTCATTTAGCACTGGTTAAGTGTTGTCAAGTTGAATATGCCTGAGAGTAAGTTTTGTACAAAAGACCTAAACTCTGTTCTATAATTAACATCTCATTTCTGTATAAAACTCTGTTCTATAAGTACCATCATTTCTGTGCATTTATAGAGTTTAGAGAGTTTGTAGAGTTTTCAGAGGCATCTAGTTTAGGAAGTGGATACCACTCCTGCTTCCCAGCATAAATCAGTCTGGAAGCTCATCCAGACACTACATAATGGATAACCATTATGGTATTTGACAAGACTATGGAACAGTGTGTAACATCATAGCAACACCATGTTGTTCATTTCAGCAAATAGACAAAAGATGTGTCATTCAAGGAATATTCATTCGAAAATAAATAAATTTGACTTGAGGGCCATAGGTCCAAGGGCCCTGTGGGGTTTTAAAGCCATGCCCTTGAGCAGACTTCCACCCTAGACAAAGGCTCAAGGACACCCACTTTGGGGGGAAAAGAGCAATACACATCAAACACGACCCCAAAAACTTCTCTTTGTTTGCCTATCAGGACCACCATCCCAAAGCAGCAAAAAACTACTTTACCTTATGATTCGGTAATATTAAATAGGTATCAAGTGATAAACATTACCACCTAGAACTTCAGTCATCATATAGTGACTGTTCTCAAGAATCTTTTTGTTTGTTTGTTTTTGTGGGGTTTTTTTTTCCAGAAAAGGATTTTTTTTTATTCAAGTAACTGCAAATAGGAAACCAGAGGAGGGCCCCAGGCTGGGACAAATAATGGCTACCCCCTCCCCAACAGAACCAGGGGAGAGGGTGTACCTACACCCTGACGGGTCAACACGTGCCACCCCTCCTCACTCTGCTGCAGCATCCTAGGGGCAGGGCCCCACCTTCCCTGGGTCTGGGGTAATTGTAACCCAGCATGCTGTGCCCCAGCCCCTTCCCCTTGATGAGCATCTTGGGGAGGAGTGTGGGGGTACAGGGGGAGGCAATAAGGATGGACATTGGACATTTGGCACTGGTAGCAGCAGCAGTGATGATGGATGTCTAAGAATGAAACATTGAACAAACAAACAAAATAAACAACCCAACACAACTGTCCAGAGGTAGTTTGTGAACAGAGGAAAAGATGGAACCAGAACCTTGGGGGTTGGGGAGGAGCAGGAAGGGTGGGAGTGGGCAAGGCTAGCTCCTGTGTGTTAGTGCCCCATTTGAAGAATGGAGAAATAAACCTAGAGTGGTAGCAGATAGTGTGTGGTGGTCCCAGACCACCTTAAAGTGGCTGCCCCACGGAATCCTGCACCTCCTTGAGCCCACTATATAAATGGTGGCTTAGGACCCCCACACAAAAGGAGGAAAGGGCTCAAATCCCTGCCCTCATGAGTCCCAATGGAGGGTCACTGTCCAACCTAATAAATGAGGAGGGTGTGAGACCCATCTGGTGACAGGTTGGGACACACTCAGGCCAAAGTCCCCCCTCATTGGTCACACCTGCTGCTACCAGTAAAGTTCAGTGGGGGACATGTCAGAATATGGGGTGCTTGGGCCCCTTTAAGGCCAGGGGAGTCCATCCAGGCCCCACTAAAGGGAGCCAGAGGGAAGAGCAGAGGGACCCAGAAAGCAGTGTCCCCATCTGAGAGGATGAGGACACAGCAGATGCAGGTGCGGCTAAGTGGGCATTAGCCTTGTCCAGGAGGGAAGGGGTGGTGTGTGCTCACTCAGAAGGAATCACTGGACACTGAACTGAGGGAAAACTGCTCCCCACTCAGCTGTGGGGGGCCCTACAGCACTGGTGTGCTATGTAGTGTGTGGTGTGAGGCGTAGGAGGTGGTGGTGCCTGGGAGGGGTTGGCGATGCGTGGACCTGGGGGCAGAAATGGGGGTGTGGGAGCGGAGCAAAGCTGTCCAGCCCCGGAAGGAAATAGCTCCTTGGGTGGGAGCAGGCTGCATGGTGCGTCTGTCACTGCTCCTCCTCGGAGGACTCCTGTGAGATGCCTTCTTCCTCCTCCTCCTCCAGTTTTTTGGGTCTGCCTCTTGGTTTCCTCCCTGGAGCTGTGGTGATTTTCTGGGTCTTAGCAGCACCCTTGTTTTTGCTTCCCTTTGGTCGGCCCCCGAGGTCTCTTAGGTGTTGGCACTTCGCTGGGCTCCTTCTGACTCCCTACCAGCGCTGTCCCAGGACTCACCGGAGGCTGTTTGCGTGGCCTACCCCGACCTCTCTTCTCAGTGCCATCCTTTTCCTGTTTGGAAGCCAAAGGCTGGCTGGACTTTGAGCTTGATTCGCTCATCTTCCTTTCTCAATGGAGCTGATGGAGAGATGGCTGGGATGCGCGAGCTCGGCCGCCGGCCTGTGGTGCGCGCTCTGGGCTGCCAGGAGCGACGGTGCTGTGCGCTGAGGACTGGCCTGGCTCCTCCGCAGCCGCCGGTAGCAAATGCGGATGCCTTCTTGGAGCTGCGCCAGAGCCAGAAATAGCCCCAGCTTGGAGTCCCAATTAGAGGAGCGCAGCCCTGGCTCAGGGGAGCTTAAAAAGAGCGACCCAGGGGCAGGGGGGACGGGCCCTGTGGGTTTTTTTAAAAAAAATTATTATTTCAATGAAAATTTACAAAGACTTTGGATTTCCATTCATTCATTGTTGTACTTTACCCCCTCCCAACCCTCCCCCCTAGTACACTACCCTCTTGGAAAAGTAAAAGGAAAATTCTTTCATTGTTTTACAATCCCTCCCCTAGGTCCACTCAACTATACAGCCTTCGCTCTGAACTCCTGTCATGACAAAAATACCTAATAATTTTACCTCTTATACAGTTTTCTTCCTCATCTGTTTCAATGCAGTATACATTATTGAAGCCATCCTTCTCAGTCTCCTCACAACCCCGAGGTCAGTCCTGCTCTACAACAGTGGCACCATGCAGTATTTGTCCTTTTGTGACTGAGATACTTCACTCAGCATAATGTCCTCCAGAGTTACCCATTTTGAATAATAATGCATGAGTTCCTTGTTTTTCAATGCTGCGTAGTATTCCATTGTGTGAATATACCACAGCTTCTCTATCCATTCGTTGGTTGATGGGCACTTAGATTGTTTCCAACGCCTTCCTATTGTGAACAAAGCTTCGATAAACATGGGTGTGCATATAAATGCTTGGGGGTGGCAGTTATGGTCTCTTTGGGGTATATTCCCAGTAGTGGAATTGCTGGGTCGAATGGTATCTCTATTTGCAACTTTTTGAGAAAGCGCCACACCGCCTTCCACAGTGGTTGCACCATTTTACACTCCCACCAAGAGTGAATAAGGGTTCCAATTTCTCCACAACCTCACCAGCATTTGTTGCTTGCTGTTCTGTTAAATTTTGCTATTGTGACTGGGGTGAGATGATATCTTATAGTTGTTTTGTGTTCTCAAGAGTCTTGATGGTTCAGCTTTGTGGATAACAACAATGAGGAGAAGCTTCTTCACTTTGTAAAAAGTTGTAGATATTTTTAAGTTATAATATTAAAGAAAAGAAGTGTCCGCTCTATTAACTATTGCCAGACTCTGACATTCCCTATTACCAAGCTAAACTAAGTCTTGAAATGATGCCTCTCTCTCTGGTCTTCAAATAAAATCAGACAATCTGGATAGACCCTGTGGCCTAAGAATATGGCAGAACCCAAACCCTAACAGTCCTCCCATGTAAATTCATTGTTAGAAAATCCCTCAGATAATCTGTAAATCTGAAATAGGAGCACATCATTTAATGAAATGCTATGATTGAAAGTACTCTTTTTAAATTGGTTTGGTTTTGATTCAATCCTTTATATATATTTTATTTTATAACATTGTTTACAATTGACCAATACCATTGATTACAATATCTCCTCATAGTCTCACTGTGTCCTCCCTTTGTTTTCACTCAACCTGTTCACATGCTACTCTGAGCTCCCTCTCCTTCCATTTGTCCACCCTTCATGATTGTTTAAAACTGTGTGAAAACCTAGGTAAAGTCGTTTGATAAGCCCTTTTAATTTATCATAAAGGTAAAGAGTTCCTGTTGAACAATCTGTCCCACATTCATACTATGAGAATCAGAATAGGAAAGTGCTTGAGACCTCTCGTTCTGATATTGGATCTTGGGCAGAGTCTCAGCTCATCTACTTCCTCATCTTATGATCTTGAGTGAATTCTCTAATTTACTTGGGCAGAGTTGAAGTTACTTCCAAGGAATGAGAGAGTTGTCTGAGATACTGTATGCAAAGCATTTGACAAATGTGTGCTGCCATTACAAAAATGAGGAGACAGAAAAGAAGTGAAGTCATTTGTCAACATCACATAGTAAACTCAAAAGTACCATGTAAACTTAGAAGTCATTAAATAAGACAAACCGTTACTAGGTACGTGATAAAGGAAATGTGTGTTGCAGATAATCTGCTAAATCTGTATTTTTTTTTTCTTTTCAGGTTACATTAAGGAAGATCTTGATCCTTGTCCCCGTCCAAAGAGACGGCAGCCTTACAATGCAATGTTTTCTCCAAAAGGCAAGGAACAGAAAACATAGATATTGAAGCAAAACCAGAATAGAGGACAAAACTTTTTCCTTTTTAGTTATTTATAGTTAAAATTAGTACTAAACACTGATTTTTTTTTATCTTCTGTAAGCTGATTTATAAATCAATTTTCTATTGAAAATGTTTTGAAATTACATTACCCACCATACAGACAACTATTTAAGCTGTGGACAAGTTGATGTATTCTCTTGCTTTTGCGCCTTTTAAACAGTAAGGTGCTTTATTTTGCACTCTAACTTAAGAAGTGTTTATTTACTTTATTTGGTAATAACAATTACAATTTTGAAAATACAATGGTTCTGTCTCTGATTTATTGCCTTCAGATCTCTCCCCATCATCCCTTGGAGTTCACCATGGATTTTATATTCATCATTCCAGATTTCCACCCTCTTCAGCACATGCTCTTCTATAGGTCATGTCAACAGCTGGCATTTAGATCTTAAATGAAATCTGAATTTGAATAGTCATTTTCACTTTGTAGGTGCTATTTTGTTGATGTTGATGTGAAATGATGTCTGCTATTCTAGTAAATCTTTAGGGAGGTAATACCAAATAACAACCTTTTTATTGCCATCAATATAATTTTTTTTAATCATCATCTTTATGTTTATAGAAACGACAGTAGTTATAGAACAGAGTTCACATCTTTTGTTCACTGGGTTGCTGTAATGTTTAACTTGACGTCACTTAACATCTTTACGAGTTTTGCTGCATACTTTTTTTCTTAGTCCTATTTTTAACTAATTTATTGTGTTTATTTGTATTTTTTCTTTCACTTGACTAATATTATGAGCTTCCAGTTTGGCATCAAAATAGATTTGTCTATTTAGCAACTTTCTTTCATTCTAGGGCTTTGTGTCCTAGTTATTAAGATGACTGGTAATACCTGTGTCATCGTTTCTGATGGCATTTATCAAGATATTTTTTGTATATTTCTTTAATTCATAGACAGTAACTGGGGATGATAGAGAATTTATGCCTTTGAGCTGTGGTGCTAGAGAACAGTGTTGAATATACAATGAACTGCTAGGAGAACAAACAGGTTTGTCCTGGAGAGGGTGAAACCAGGCTGCTCCTTGGAGTCAAGGATTCTGAAGCTTCGTCTGACATACTTTGGACATGTTGCAAGGAGGGACCAATCCTTGGAGAGGGACATCATGCTTAGGAGGGTGGAGGGACAGCACAGGAGAGGAAGACCCTCATTTAGATGGATCAATTCAGTTACTAGGGTAATGGGGCTAGCTGTGTCAGAGACAGTAAGTTTGGCACAGGATAGAGCAGGGTTTGGGCTCTTGTTCATAGGGTCGCTATGAGTTGCAAGTGATTTGTCGGCACGTAACAACAGTATTATTACGTAAATAGATATATATGACACTCTTAACTAGAGTATGCATTAAAATAGCCTTATAGATATAATCTTTTCTTGTTGTCAAGTGTTCTAAAGTATAACTCATAGCAACTCTGAACAACAGACCTGAACCTTGTCCTACCCTGTGCCATCTTTACAATCTCTGTATTAGTCCATCTCATTGAGGGTCTAGAATTTCTAAAATCTCTTTGTTTAGAGACTGGTCTTCCTCATTGATCATGAATCCTAGAAAAATTAAATCTATCAATATATATTCCATAAGTTGGAAAAATGAGAAAAGGAAATTACATTCATAAATGTGTTCTGTATGCCTAGTCCATAAAAGATTGCACCACAATCCCAAAGACAGTTCCTCTGGTGGGTCTATCCCACCAGCCACTCCAAGGGGAAAAGTTGACAATTACTACTATGCTGCTTACAGCCTCCTGAAAACCCACTGGAAGGTCAGCTCTCAGTCATTTCTGACTTGAGGGCAATCAGTGAATTACTGGCACTTATGTATACATCATTTTAACTCAGAACAGTGTTAAGAATTTCTTAAAAATAAGAGAAGCTGTGGTATATTCACGCAATGGAATACTATGCTGCATTGAAAAACAAGGAACTCATGAAATACTAAAAATGGGTGATCCTGGAGGGCATTATGCTGAGTGAAATATCTCAGTCACAAAAGGGCAAATACTGCATGGTGCCATTGTTGTAGAATGGGATTGACATCAGGGTTGGGGGGAGACTGAGAAAAACTGGATAAATTATGTATAGTGCATTGAAACAGATGAGGGAGAGAATAATTATAGGGTATTATGGTTATCACAAGAGTCCAGAATTAAGGTTGCATAGTGGAGTGTACTCGGGGCAGTGGAAGGGTTGTGGGGGGATTGTATACCAAGGACAGAATTTTTCTTTTGCTTTTCAAAGAGAGGAGCAAACCGGCGCAGGGTAGGGGGTGGGGAAGGACTAGGCAGGAAGGAAAGTGCAACAATGAATGAATGAAAATCTAAAATCTCTGTGAATGTTAATTAAAATTAATAAAATAAAAATTTAAAAAATTAATGATATAAAAAAAATTTAAAAATATCATAGCTTCTAGTCAGCACTTTTGCTCCCCTAATTGTTTATTATATGTTTGATTTTTACTCTTTATTGGCAGTCAGCTAATTTCCAGATATAACAGCAACCATCACTGGTCATTACTATATGCTGGGGATTGTTAGGATTTTCATACAAATGTTTTCTCTTAATCCTGTGTAGCCTTGTATATCCTCAAACAATTCTGTGTATTCCAAATGAAACCAGAAAAAGTGGTTCAAAAAAACCAAAACAAAACAGCAGTACATCCAATATTTGATCATAGCAAGAATGAAAAGCTCTTAAAGAAACATATAACCAAGAATTTGTTACCTTTGCATCTTAAAATAACACACTCTGATTTCATTTTGGAAAATATTTTTTAAAAGTTAGCATTTAAAACATGTCTTAGACATTACTGTCTACTGTATATTCTCAAGAAGCCCAGAAGTTCACGCGACATCTCATAGTCTTCCTCTTTGCAAGTTAATGAGGTTGCAGTGATTCATTATGAAACTGAAGCATCCTTACCCTTGTGTCCTTGAGCACACACTGAAGCAGAACTTTATGGACACTTGTCTACTCTCATACCAGCGGAGGCCAGAAGAGAGCTATTGTTAAAGAATTAACCAATGGAAACCAGGAGGTAAGAGTTGTTAGGTATCATCAAGTTGCTTTTAACTCATAGCCACCCTCTGTTCAACCACGTGCCATCATAACAATCACTGCTGGTGTGGAACTCATTGAAGCCACTGTCAGCTTGTTTAGGGTTATTTCTCTTCATGGCTAACTTCAAGCATGATACTGTTCTCTAGGGACTAATCCTTCTTGATAATATGTCCACAGTGACAAATATGTCAGTTCTAAGGATAATTATGTCTGCTTTCTTTGAAGACAAGTTTGTTCATCTTTTGGAAGTTCTTGCTATGTCCCGTATTCTTCACTAACATCATAATTCAAAGACAGCAATTCTTTAGGCTTCTTTATTCATTATCTAGCTTTTACAAATGAAAGATAAAGGACTAAAAAGTACTACAACTAGGATGAGGGCACCTTAGCTCTCAAAGTGACATCTTCGATTTTTAATACTTTAATAAAGTATTTCAGCAATGCAATACACTTCATCTGATTGGTGCTTATAAAATGAAATCCTTGACAACTTTTATATTTTATCCATCTTTCGTGAGCTCTGGTGGCAATGTCCATAGGGAGATGCACTGCTAAGCCAGAGACCATGCTTCTCTGGAAGTTTAAATCCAACATGTTATGTGCCATCGAGTCGCTTGCAACTCATAGCGACCTTATGTACAACATCCCTGAACTCTGCTCTGTCCTGTGACAATCGCACCGTCTCTGACACACCCATCCTGATTACCCCAGTCACTGAATCAATCCACCTC